AGCAGCCCACCCCACGGCCTGGTGGCCCTCCCACAGCAGCCCACCCCACGGCCTGGTGGCCCTCCCACAGCAGCCCACCCCACGGCCTGGTGGCTCTCCTAAGCCAGCCCACCCCACAGCCTAGTGGTCGTCCCTCTCATTCCACCCCACAGCCTGAAGGAGACCGAGATTATGGTTGTAGATGACCTCCTCAGGAACCAACTAGCCATCTCTTCTGGCCATTGCTCAGATGGGAAAGCTGAGGTCCAGAGGTCTGAATGCCATGCTCAAGGCCCCATGGAAAATCAGTGGCCAGGACGGTCTGACAACTTATATTGTCACCATCTCTGGGGCCCTTCTCAGATTCTGGCCGCCCTTGCCCGGCCTGACCCTCACCTCTCTGTCTCTTATTTCGATGACGAGTGTTTCGGCGTGGGCCAGGCTGCATGGCCGGAGCCGGAGCCGCACCCCCCAGGCCGGCTTCCACCGGAACAGCAACAAAGGGATCCCAGCCATCAACCAGACCACGGCGTGGTAGCCTAAGACTCTCCACGGACTCCCACAGTAGCCGCTGAGCCTCTGTGCACACGGGGAAGAGGAGGTCAGGTTGGGAGGGGAGAGGGTCAGGTGTGAGGGGGGAATGGGTCAGGCCGTGGGGGAGAGGGTCAGGTGAGGGCGAGGCAAGGCTGGAGGGTCCCATCGGAGCGTCTCCTCCCCCACGCATCCCATCACCCACATACCACGGATGAAACTGAGGAGCTGAGGGGATCGATCGATGTTGCTATTGTCAGGGTCCCATAACCGGAGGGCGCACTGCCCACGAGAGGGCTGCTGTCTGTGGACGGGAAGGATGAAGGTGTCTCCCTTAGTCAACATAAGCACACAACAGGCTCAATTGTGGAGGGATAACGGGATGGGAGGGAGAGGGGGCTAAAAAGGAAAAAGGAAATAAGTGAGGTGACGGGGAAGGCAGTTCACGGGGACTAAAAAGGACCAAACCAGTAAGCACTCAGTGAGGTGAAGTGGAAGGCAGTTCACAACCAGGGGTTGATTAGACCCTTGTAATCAATTAACTGCATTATCACTGGCAACAAATGTTACCAAACAAAATATCTGTGAATGAGAGCATCAAAAATCAACATGTTTTGTTAAACCTTCACATAAACAAACTATTATAAAGATAGAAAAACAACCCCTTGACATGAGAGGATACTCATTGAGTGCACAGATTTTGGATAATTAATCATCAGGAGAAGGATGGGCAATCTCCTCTTGTGCGATTAACTGTCTTTGAAAACTGCCGGAGGGTCAGCTACGACTCGGTTCCACCTCTGATACACAACAACGATAATCACCATAAATTAATAAACCAGAAAAGATTTAAAAAGTTAAATAAAAAAAACCCATAAGCAATAGTTCTTTTATTAGCTGGTCTGAGAACACCAGCAGCTCAGACCTTCATGCATCTGGTACTTTTACTGGCTGGTTCCTGCACTTTTGTGCTTCGCTTCCTTCAGGGTTTGGCTGTCTCTGACAGGGGTGTGGGCTTAGAGTTGGGGTGTGGGGTCTGGTGTTTACCCTGATCTCTGAACAATCCAGCTACTGGATTTCTTGGTGCTCTGGCCTCACTTACTCACTCCTCACCTACTCTTCAGCCTGTGGGCAGAGAGCAGGATTTATAATCCTCATTCCTGACAGTAAGGAGATCCTAGCATCTGCACGTGGACTGGCAAGTGTCAGGCCCGCAGGGCTGTCTGCAAGTAGTTGAGGACCACTGCCCACTCTGAAGGTAGAATGGGGGCAGAAATGGATCCCACCAGTGGGTGTGGACGGGAGAGGAGGGAAGAACCCCTCACAGTCAGAGAGAAGCTGCTGTTTGCTATGTCCAGTCTAAAGTTGACAGGATTCCTTATCTAATCCTCTGTGAAGGAGGGACTATTACCCATTCCATTAAACCGATGGGTCAACCGAGGCTTAGCTTCATTGAGGAAATTATTTTTTCCCTATCCTTTCTGCAGGAAATTAAAAGAAGAATTGCATTGGGAAAGTTTGCTGTTAGAGACCTCTCCAAATAACTGAACAGCAATGATGTCAGTCTGGAGACTAAGGTGCACCTGATCCAGGCCATGGTCTTTGCAATTACTTGCTATGCATCAGAAAGCTACAATGACTAGGGATGAGAGAATACAAATTGATGCTTTTGAGCTTTGGGCTGGAAAAGAGTATTGAATATACCACGGACAGCTAGGAGAACAGACAGGTTTGTCCTAGAGAGGGTGAGACCAGGCTGCTCCTTGGAGGCAAGGATTCTGAAGCTTTGTCTGCCATATTTTAGACATGTTGCAAAGAGGGATCAGTCCTTGGAGAAGGACGTCATGCTTGGCAGGGTGGAAAGACAGCACAAATCAGGAGACCCTAGACGAGATGGATCGATTCTGTGACTGGGATAATGGCGTTAGGCATGTTAGAGACAATAAGGTTGGCACAGGATAAAGAAGGGTTTAGGTGGTCCCCACTGGACCCTCATCATTTCCTTCACCTGCTCCCCCCACCGACCAAACTGTGCAGCTCTGCAACTGCATCCTGGCCCATCTTCACCCTTTTGCCCCCAACCCTCACCTCCTTGTACCCCCAATATGTTTTTCCCAATAAAAAAAATATTAAAAAAAAAAGAAGGGTTTAGGGCTGTTGTACAAGGGTCGCTATGAGTCACAGGCAACTCGACATCACGTAACAACAACCTTTTTTTCTTGCAGTGACCCTAGTAAGATAGGCAGACCAATGGGTGTCCTGAGGCCCCTGGAGTGGGGGGTGGCTCAATGCTCTCCTTCTAGGATCACCTCTAAATGGGGTTTCTCTCCACATCATCCCTGGACCACCTGCAGCCAAAGCACGTGAAGTGTCTGTCAGACACACCTGGGTTTCCCATCAAACCTGCCGGAGCAATGTCTTAGGAGGGGTACCGGCCATCTGCAGGTTTCAAAGAATTTACAGAGTTCATTAAGCCAGGGGTTGGGGGCAGGGCTGCAGGGCTGCTTTCCTGGGTTCCTTCTTGCCCTCCTTGAGCCCTTTAGGGAGCTGACCCAAAGGTTTCCACCCAAGAAGGCCAGTGTGTCCCAGGCAGCTGTGACAAGTTTCCCAGACCCTCAGCCACTGTCCCAGGCTTCCCTGGAGCCCAGTAGTAACTGTCACAGCCACCACGTTCTCACTGCATGCTGGGATCTGTTCCTAGGCCTTTACATGACAAGCACGGTAACCCTGCAGGTGGGTGTTACGATTGTCCCCTCAAGAAACATTTATTTGGATGAGAAAGTGGACCAAGCACCAGAGGCAGGCTTAAGTCTCAGACCTGGGACCTAGCAGCCTGCATGGCTGGGAGGGGAACCTCTTCTTGCTTAGGCTGGTGAGGATCTGGTCCTGGCTGGGCTGGTGAAGATCCACGAAACTCTCTGGAGGAAGGACTGGACCCCTATTGTCTTCTAGCTGACCCATGAACATTTAACAGGCTCCTTTTTTCAAGGCGGAGGGGGGCACAGCTTGTACGGCATGTCAAACTTCAAAATGCTATCAGTGGGTGGAGAGGGCAGCTCCAGATTTCCAGTTTTACAAGCACCAAGGAGACTGGACTGTCTCCTGTTTATATAAGGAAAGGAAGCTCGGACAGGTTCTATAACTCACCCAAGATCACACACGGTAGTGCCAGGAGGTAAGCTCAGGCAGGTGGCTCCAGGCTTGTGCTCTTATTCTGGTCCCCACCTGACAAGGCAGGGTCTGCCCTCTCCCATCCCACCCCCCAGACCACCTCATATTGACTGATGACAGTAATGACTGCTCTGGTAATAAAGTTAGTACAGCGACAGCCACGAGGCACTGGTCGAGCTGTCAGGGGCTGGGCTAAGCCTCCCACACATGTCCTTTAACCCTCCCAGCCACGCGGTAACGTGGACTTTGATGACGCCCATTTTACACGAGGGAATCAAGGCTCCAAGAGGCACAAAAACCTAAGCAAAAGCACAGAAGCCAGTAACAGGTGGAGCTGGACTCCAGATCCTGTCCTTTTAACAACGCTGCAGCTGGGCACACGTGGGCGCTTCCAAAGAACAGGTGCTTTCCACTCCCCAGGCCTCTGCCAGCCAGGTGACTCAAACACCCAATCATCCAAAGCCCCACCTAGGAGCTCTCTGTCTACTCACCTGACCGAGAAAACAAACAGCGGAGTCACCCCCACCAGAAAGAGCCTGGTCTCTGGAAACGGAAACACACACACACACACACACACACACACACAAATATGTATATATACAAATCCACACTCTCACACATTCATACACTCTCATGGAAACAGTCACTTTCACACATCCTCACATCCACATTTTTACATACATTCACACGCTCTCCCTCCCACTCTCTCACACACATCTGCACACTCACCCTCTCATATACATTCACTCTCACGCCCCCCTCACATAAATGTCCATCCTCACATACATTCATACACATGCCCACACTCACATACTCTCATAAAACACATCCTCATGTACTCTCATCCGCATCCATAGTCTCTTAACACACAGCCACACTCCCCTACATATTCACTCTCACGCATTCACTCACATACACCCTCACACACATTCACAGGCACAGAGCCCCTCTCATGTACACATTCACACATACACATTTACACTCTCACACACATCCACATTCTCACATATATTCACATACACACACACACACACACACACACACACACACTTTCACAAATGGCACTGCTTGCCTTTTAAAGAGAGTGAGAGAAAAAGAAAAAAAGAGTGGAAAGCGCGCACACACACTCGTAAGCCCACGGCCACCACCTGACTGTACAGGCGGATTCTTAAGGCTGAAAGGGCAGGAGGCTTGTGTTCTTTCCTGAACACATGAGGCTCCAGACTGAGACCCCGCGGGCATCTGTTTCCTTTGTCCTCTGTGGTCCAGGTCTTGTCCCCAAGAGTACAGCTTCCTCCCTTCCTGACAACAATCCACAGCCAAGCAGCAGCCGAGGGCCCTCTGCTCTCTGGCTCAGGCAGAAGCGGAGAGAAGGGGCACTCAGGACTACTGACGGGGCCTACCACACTGTGGCCTCACGTCCTTGGCCACCAACAAACCACAGCTCTTTCTCACCCTCTTTAAAAGCCCAGCAGTGCCACTTGCCACTGGAGTCCCAAGTTTCTTTTTTTGCCAGAGCCTGTCACCCCCTCTAAAGACCTGCTGCTCAAGTAGGGCCTAGTGAGTGGTCCTTTTTTCTAGAGAGGGAAAGAGCACCCGAGAGAGGTCACCAGTAGCCAGGCCTTGTTCGAATCACTGTGCCCAAGGGCTTTACGCACATCCATGTATTTGTGTAGTCCTCTCCACAACCACAACTCCCAAGCTCTATTTTTTTTAACCCTGTTTCACAGCCTAGGAAACTGAGATCCCGAGAAGTGGATTGTCAAAAATTGTCACAGAGCCAGCAGATGGTGGCATCTGGACCCCGGCAGGTTGACTATGAGTCCATGCTCTTAATGGCAGCATCATCAGAGCACTGTGCAAGCAAGCTGTGTTTCCTAGGCAGGCACCTTAGCCTCTCTGGGCTTCTGAGTCCCACGTGGAGGATGGTAATCTTGAAGCAACTGGCACACAGGGGAAGCCTGCTGGGACCTGGGGTGTTTGAAGTTGCCAAAGTACCAGCTTGGACAAGCCGTTGGTGATGGCTGGCTTCCCTGCCAAGGAGGTGTGGTTTCTGCTGTGACCCATTTCTCAGGCTCACACCCTGTCTGAAGACACCCTCTTGCTCTGCTCCCATAGGCCCTCTCTACAGCTCTCCCACGTCTGCAGCCCCACAGGCCAACACCCCGGGCTAGAATGGGAGAGGAGCTTGTCTGTTGAACGCTCGGCTCCCAGTAAGCAGACTTCATCAGGGTGGGCAGTTTCTAAAGCCTTGTCTTACGGACAAGTAAGCGGAGTCCTGGAGAAGCATTATGCCCACAGACCTGTTTCACAGCCAGAGAGGAGTCTGTCTTACTTTAAACCCCTTCTGAACCCACTAAAGCTACTTACTCAATACGGATGTTCTGCTCACAGTTCCTCACAGAGGCTCAGGAATCACGGATTGAATGAATGAAAAGAAGGCCACACATCCTGCCAACCTAACAGCACAAGAAGGCAACCCTGTTGGACCATCCATGTGTCCATCCTCTCATCTATAGGTCAATCTGCTGTGAGGAGTACACCTCTTCAACGGGCTCCACAGAAACCAACTCATGCCCCCTTGCTCCCCCAGCATCTACACAGCGTGCCGTCTGGGAAAGTTCTCTGCATCTATCTCATGTCTAGCATTTTACAAAAATTCTCCACAAACTGGGAAAAAGGAAGGGAGAGGGGTTTGAGGAGAACTGTGGGACAGTCTAAACTCCTGCCAAGAGCCAAGCAAAGGGGACCTCCCCCTGCTGGGTATCTTCCAAAAGACATGTGTGAGTTTCCCCTCTATTCACATCTCAGGCACCCAGGAGGATACAGTCCCACCAGCTCTGGGCAGGTGCCACAGGCTGTGCGGGATGATAAAGCTTTCATGGTTATTCTTGTTCTTCTAACAAAACCTGACCGATACAGTGCTGGAAGTGCTTCAAACGCAGACTTGATAAACTTTCACATGCAACCTTCTGAGAAAAGGACTGCTATTTAAAGTTGGGGAAACTGAGGAACAGATTTGTGAAGTCACTTGACAGGAGTCACCCAGCTTGAAAGAAGTCAGAAATGCATGAGTCTGAACAAACACATTCTTCTTAGCTCATCTTCCCAATCTCCCTATGAAAAGTATGGATGATGAATCTTATTTAAAGCATAAGAACAGAGAGGTGGATCAACATGCCCAACGTCACACAGCTAAAAGTGGCCAAGACAGGACTTTGAACCTGATCTGATTCCATGGGGCTAGGGTGCTGACAGGAGCACTGCAGTGTAGAGGGGTTGGAGTCAAAGCCATTTAGGGACCTCTCATTTCCTGCGGAAGCTCCCGCTTCCTGCTGGTGACCTGGCAGCAGGCCAGGGTGGTGTTGCTGCTGCTCTCAGCCTGGTTGCCTGGGTACCGGGAGCTCATCTCTCCTCCGACAGGCTGTCAGGGGCCACTGGAGATCTGCCAGCAGCACCCCAACCACAGCATCTCAGGACTAGGTGGCCATGTTTTCTGGGTTCTCTTACTCTGAGTGTGTCCTGGACTGCAACAGAGTGTGTGTGTGTGTGTGTGTGTGTGTGCGCGCGCAGATGGGTGAAAGAGCTAGGGACTGAGGGGCCCTCAGCTGCAGACAAGAGCGCTCCAGCTGAGACTAGCTGCAGAAGCCCACAGCTGAGGTCTCGGGTCTGAACTAAGATGAGCCCCTTCTGAATGGAGAGAAGACTGGGTTCATTCCCCACAATAAACAGTTGCTGCTGGAAAAAGAAAAAAAAAAGAATTGCTGTTGTGTGGATTCCACCTCCTGGCTACCGTTTGTGATCCAGAGTAGAATGGTTCCATATGGTTTTCTTGCTGTTATCTTTATGGAAGCAAATCACCAGACCTTTCTTCCATGAAGCTGCTGGGTGGGTTTGACCTACCGGCCTTCAGGTTAGCAGCTGATCACAAACAGCTTGTGCCCACCAAGGACCTCATTCAGATTCAAACAAGACTCTGGAAAAAGAGTGGTTCCCGACAGCTGATCAGAAATGAATGCAAAGAGGGCGTGGTCCTTGGACCTGAGTGCTGGCACGGTTCAGCAGGACACCGGAGGCCCAAGGGGTGGGGAGGCACTGGTGCCCCAGGGCTTAAGGAGATCTGGCTTCCTGCTACCCCATTCATTCATTCAGACATGAATTGGATCCCAAATGTCCCAGGATATATCAGCCTCCCTGCCTCTACACCAGTCCGTGCGGGCCCCTACCTGGACCCTGCCACCCTGCCTCTACACCAGTCCGTGCGGGCCCCTACCTGGACCCTGCCACTTGGACATAGAGGCCAGTGGGGGTGTGGCCGTCTCTCGCAAGTCGAGATCTCAATTTCCTCTTGCACTAGCGCGGGAAGCATCCACTCCCACGGCAGCCGGGCTGCGGGAAGGCGGGGTGGGGGGCAACTCTGCGCGGTGGGGACAGTGCGGGGCGCCGTCCGAGGCTCCTGGCCTATCTGGGAAAGGCTCTGGCACCAATTCCTCGTAACCCTGGAAGCGACGGCGTCCAAGGGACGCTCTGTTTGCCCGCGACCCGGCGGCGGGGGGTGTCTCTCCGGCAGCTGCAGCGCCCGGCAGGTGGGTCGGCGCTGCGCACTCACCTGCGCTCATGCCGGCTCCTCGCGCTCATCGCTAGCCTCGCGCTGCGCTGCCCCGCAGCCCGCGGAGGCGCGATCCGGGCCCGGAGGCGGGGCGCGGGGTCGCCTCTCCAGCTGGAGTCGCGCCTGGCGCCCTCGGACGCTGCCGCAGTCGGGAACTGCGTGCACACAGGCCCCGCCCGGCCGACTGCGGCTCCACGTCTGCGGGCCGCGCCGCCGGGGCTGCTGGGACTTGTAGTCCGAGCCCGCTCTCCGCTGGGGCCAGGCCCTCCTGTGCACGCAGAGGCTGGACCACCTCACACTTAGCAATCCTGTAACACACAGCCACACAGGTAACTTCCCATTCACAGCGACAACAGAATGAGATACTGCCAGGTCCTGTGTCACATCCTTAAAACCATTCCCATTGCCATAGAGTTGATTCTGATTCGTTGAGACCCTTCCACAGGTTTCTGAGGTTGTAAATCTTCATGGCAGGGAACGGACTATCTTTTTCCAAGCAGCTGGTAGATTCAAACAGCAAACCTTCAGGTTGACAGCACAATATGTAATGCATTTGGCATGAGTGCCCAGCTCTTTAACCTACCATTGTTCTTGTGTGCCGGAGTCGGGACGGATCCATAGCTGACCCTTCAGCGAGTTTTCAGAGGCAGTACATCGCACAAGAGGAGACTGCCCTTCCTTCTCCCATGGAAGAACTGGTGGACTTGAACCACGTGTCTGTGGAATTGCAGCGGTAGTGTCATACTAGGCCATTAGCGTTAGTGAGCTAAAAAGAACTGACACTAGCCATTTTTAATAGAATGGTCATATGGTCTGGAATATACTGGAATGACATTTTCAAAAAGGACATTTCAAGATCTATCCTTAAGTATAACACTGTCAGTGTTATCTACACGTGCCTTCAAGGAAGACCGGTTAATACGCAACCTCAAACACACAAATATATGCATGGCTTTCAGTGAAGCTAGGCTCTATGCACCCATGGAGAGCTAAGTACCTTTAAACCTGTTCTATATTGGATAGAAAAAAGAGGAGAAAGAAAGAAGCTGGTTCCAAGAAATGAACAGGCCTTTATTGTGGTCTGAGAGGGATGCTAAGTGACCCTGCAAAGGTCAAAATGGCATGAGGGCGGTCACGGACAGCTCCTTTTTATAGGAGGTTTTAGGGAGTTCTAAGGAAAATAGTATTTTGCTCCGAATTTGGGGTAGGGGTCCTGCTGACTAATTTGGGTATGTGCTTTCGTAATCAGACTCAGGGCTTTATCAGGATCCAGTTGTCTGAGCTGTTAGCCTTAGACTTAGACATTATCAGGTTTCTTCAAGAAGTGATCAGGCCTGCTGGCAACTATGAAATTCTTCCTCCAAAACCAAGGTGGATTGGTGGAGTGGGATGCCTCTTGGAAATTCCTTTTTTATTTTTGTTTTATATTGGTTTACTTACAAAGTTCTTACACGTTTTCCACACCTGATCTTTCCCCTTTCCTTTACCTACCTCGCCCTCTACCCATCAAATTGTGTGACACTATAATTAAGCTCCCCCATCCTCACCCCTCTGCTCCCCCTCCCCTCCTTGGATCCTCATACTTGTTCTATAATAATGGTCTTATACAGCATTTGTCTTTATGAGACTGAGTTAGTTCACTTAGCATAATACTCTCTAGTTCTGGACACTTCTTAGTGGACCTAAAGATCTTCTTAACCTTTGTTGCTTTTTGATTTCTGATTATTATTAATGGATGGGATAGGGACTGACAGCTGAGGGTCAGAAAGATGCCTGTCTACAGGCACAGCTAAGAAGCTGTCCTGACTGAAGACTTGTCCTTTTTTTTTTATTATTTTGTGTGCGTGTACCGTCAAATCAGATCTGACTGGTACAGGAGGATATTGCGCCTCCTTCTCAGGCAGAGCATCTGGTGGATTTGAACCGTGTTCCTCTGGGATTGCAGTTCAGCTTCTTGCCACTAGGCCACCAGAGCTCCCCCAGACTTGTCCTTGAGTCATTTCTGGTCCTGAATTGTAGCCCACTACATCCCTAAGGTAAGGAGTGGCATCCACTTCCTAAACAACGTGCATCCGGAAACTCTATGAACTTTGATAAATGTAGACAGTTATAGAAAGGCTTCAAGCCTTTTGTTCATAGGGTCACTATGAGTCATACTCAAAGGCCATCAACAACAACAACATCCCTAAGGTACATTGTACACAGAGATTGTTAACAATTTTAGCTTGCTCAGTTCCACAATCAACACTCTTGGTACTAGCAGTCAAAAGACCAACAGTTAAATTGCACTGTGGAAGTCTGCTGTCAGGAACCTCTCCAGCGTGCTGAGGAGCAATGATATCTGTCTAGAGACTAAGGTGTGCCTGATCCAGGCCATGGTCTTCACAATTACTTGCTATGCCTCAGAGAGCTGGACAATGACTAAGGAAGACAGAAGAATCGACTCCTTTGAGTTGTGGTGCTGGAGAAGAGTATTGAACATACCACGGACAGCCAGGAGAACAAATATGTCTGTCCTGGAGAAAGTGAAATCAAGTTTCTTCTTGGAGACTAGGATTTTGAAGCTCTGTATCACATACTTGGGGCTTGTGGCCAGGAGGGACCAATCCTTAGAGAAGGACATCATGCTTGAAAGGGTGGAGGGACAGAGCAGGAGAAGATGACCCCAGATGGGATGGATTGATACAGTAACTAGGGCAATAGGTGCTGGTGTGTCAGAGTCAGTGAGACGGGCTCAGGATAGGGCAAGGTTCAGAGCTAAGAGTCACAAGTGACTTGGTGGCATGTAACAACAACAATATCCCTCAGACCAAAGCCATGATATTTTCAATTGCTCTATATGGATCTGAATAATTAAGGAAGACCTGAGAAGAATAGATGTCTTTTAATTGTGGTATTGGAGAGGAGTATTGAATATACCATGGACTGCCAAATGCACAAACAAATCGGTCTTGGAGGAAGTGTAATCAGGCAGGTGCTCCTTAGAGACAAGGCTGATGATCATCTTACCTACTTGGGGCACGTTGTCAGGAGGGTCCAATTCTTGGAAAAAGATGTCACGATGAGAAAAGTAGAGGGTCAGAGATAGAAGGAAGATTCTCAACTAGATGGATTGACACAGTGACTGTAATAATAGGCTCAAGCATATTAGAGATGGTCAGTATGGTGCAGAGCAGGCCAAGGGTCAGATCTGTCGTTCAGAGGGTTGTTCATAGTTGACTTGATGGCACCTAACAACAACAACTTCTATAGGAAGCTCCACAACTATGAATGTATCTGTGAATGTTGTGTGGCCATGGCAACGAATGATCAATCCCAGGAGAGAAGTGGAGAGTGCCATGGGAGGGCCAGCCAGTGTGAGAATTGCTAAAAAGTTTGGAGAGAGGACGTAGGAATCAGATCTTGATTCCACTCCCACCTTATGAACTCAAGAGGTCAGACGCCGCTGTCACGCCATTCTTCCAGCAATCTTGTCACCTCTCCTCACTGAGCCTTCCCTTTTCTCTGTAAAATGGAGGCTGTTGAGAGGATGAGATGAGGCACCGAAAGGGCCTAGCAGATGGCAGGTGCTTGAGAGAGTTTCTAGGGTTGGGTTATAGAGGCAACTCTAAGGATGTTCCCCTTACTCTTTGTACAGCTAATAGGCTTGGCATGAAAGAGTCTCCACTTCTCAGTCATTTGGCAACAAGCTGGCTCCCTGCAGCCCAGCTGCTCTCCTTGGCTGAAGGGAGGCCAAACAGCAGAGGCTGTAGGAAGACCTGCCACCTGCCCGGGTTACCTCTGGGGAAGTGGTTCTCACT